GTTACATTAAAATAAACCCCTTACAATAAATTAAAGTAGAGGCATATTGCCCACATGTCTATGCTTTTGAATACAGCTATAAAAGGTATTTTTACTATCTACATATGTAAACTGAGTGTATATGGTCATAAAAGCAATTTTATTCTAACCTTCCTACTAGAAGGGTGCCTTGTGTATCAAATATATCAAGTTCAGTACCTCCAGAGCCACAAGCTGGGCTTTTGGGGTTATAAAAGAATAAAATAATCAACGAGTTATGTCAGGCCAATTTATCGAGAGTTAATTAAGTATAGTTTCCTACAATCGTATGAAAGTTTAAAATGTGCTTCACTTGTGCTATATATACGGATTTGTCGTTCTTAATTACTAATGAAATTCCGACGGTGCTACTCAATTACTTCAAAAGAGAATATCCAAGCAGGTTACAGAAATGGTTCGCGAATTGTAAATTGTTAATGTGTTGTCAAAATTTCCCTAAATTATGGTGCCGATACGAATCTATCATTCATAATCGCTTGTGAAATCTCAATGAATTTAATAGAAAATATCCAGGAAGGTTACAGAAACAGACTCTCAAAACGTGCTCTTGAATTCCAAAACTGTAAACAACAATTAGTTACGCTAGCCATGAGCTTACCAGCGCGCTTGTAAGGTCAAATTGCCAGAACCCCGTTTAATTGCAAAATGTGATGACTACAAATTTCAGAGATTAATTCTTCAGTTTCCAGCATAAGGAAAAAAATATCGTATCACAAGCATGTTCATCATAACGCCTCGAGATGTTTAGCGAAGAGAAAGTAGCTCCATGTTTTGTGAGACAAACCATTTCCTGAAGTTCGAACGAATCAAGTAGAAAGCATGAAAATATAGCGCTGAAAAGTACGACAACCAAACAATTAACATCTCTCATCCCGCTGTAGAACCAGCTCCATTTTAACCGTGAGTTTGCTTGCACCTCTCATTTGCGGTCCGTAATTTGATACTTAGATGTTTGACCGGTTCTAAAATGACCATATCGTCAAAATCAAATTACCACGTCAGACTTAGTGTAAACATGAACATCGCTGACTCAATCTTACTTTATTTTAATTTTGGGAAAGGCCATTACTTCGTTCTTAGGGTAAAACAACACATCTTCGGCAAAGCCCGAATTTTTCAAATGAATAGAGTAAATGCTGCGATAATTAACTGAAGAGAAAAAAAAGTAAAAACTTGCGCTCGCCGTTCGCCATCATTTGAAAACTTTCTAGACAAAACAAAATACGTAAGATAACTTCTTTTCCCATAAAACCACGACTGTATTCAACTTTCAAACCAAAGGAAAAGAAACAACTTGAAGAATACGAACACCACGAAATATTATAATTAAGTTCGGATATAACGCATGCTTTCATTGATTAAAAGGGCGTGCTCTATGAGAGTATAGAGCATAGAACTGAGCTAAAGCTGTCTCACCATCTGCCAAATTGTACTGTGTCCGAACTTTTCCAACAGTTCTTTCTAGCTTTTCTGTCGTAAATTGAAAGTGAAATTTCGGAACAAGTGAGCAAAGGTTTTCAAAAATGCCAGGCGCAGTAATTTACGTTACTGTAACGTGAGCAGAGACAAAAATCCTCAAAGATAAATCAAAATGGATAGTCCGAGTTTCAAAGGTTTTAACGCTCAGTTAGATTGCAAGTTTACGTACGGTAATAAAAATCAAACACAACTAGCACTTGTATAGTATATAAAGTTTCGTGTTCAAAAACAAAACAGAAAAGAACAGGAATGATGAAAAATATAACCTGGCATAACTGTTGAACTTCATACTAATCATGACGGTGTCGTGTCAGAGCGACTACGATCATGCTGAGGTCTATCGCGGCTAGCTCCTCATGGCGATCTTCGGTCATCGCAGTGGAGCTAGCCTCAGGAACTAAATCGACTACCCTTCGAGTGGAAAAATAAGAGCTTGCTCTGATAACCTTTCCGATGCGTTGAGTGGAAGGCCACATCAGTTACTGCAGCCGAGTTTTACGGCGCTGTCGTTCCGAGCGATCTTCATGTCCTAGTGAATTCCGCTGTCGTTCATTCATAAAACACTCGCTTTGAACAGTTTCTTTCCTTCATGTCATGTGAAATAACTAGCGTATTTTTGTTAGCCATGATTGGGCCGAATTTCACGGAACATTTCGCTTTCAGCTTCTGTATTACAAACTTAAAAACTTTAGGCAAAATGTTTAAATTCGACACGCCGAACTATTTTAGTTTGTAAACTATTGCAGAATATGAACTTTGATGGTTTGACATTTTTTACAGCTTTAGTCTTCTACAGCCAATCAGATTATATGGACCATTCTAACAGGGATTCTGATTGGCTTATTGTAGCGTGCTTTATCAGAGTATAGAGCATGCTGACGACACTGTTGTTCGCTTTAGAAATAAAATTTGTTTTGAAAATTGAAAGTAATTCTTGGAGAATTTAATGAATTCTTTATTATAAAAGAAGTAGAGAAGTCTTGACTGTGCTCTGTTCTGTTGTAGAGCACTTAGGAAGCGGCTAGAGCACTCAAGAAGTAAGGAGAAACACTCGAGTACGTCTCGTGTTTCCCCCTACACTTCTTTCGTGTTCTAGCCGCTTCCTAAGTGCTTAACAACAGAACAGAGCACAGTCAAGGCTTCTCTATTTGTTAATTATTCGAGCGATGAGGGTATTTAGACGATGAATGCCAGAGTCAATGTTTAACCGAAACGTGATCAGTTGAATTAAAAAAATGAAGCTAGTATCAAACAACGATTGGTAATCAAAAAAAGTTTGAAATTTTTTCTGGGTCTTATCGTAAGAGAAAACCCAGACAAGACACGACTTACCTCCTCTTCTTTCGCGGATCCCTTGTAGTTCGCTTCTCTTTGTTGATGGTCTCTTTTCAGTCTGTTTTCAGGAGCGACTTTGTATTTCCTTATCCCGTTGCTCTTCGCCAGATACTCGCCTTTTTACTTATGCCCTTTATTGTTCTCTTTCGTGTTCCTTTCGCCGTATTCTGCCTATCTGGGCGTCTTATCAAACTTTCTTACGCGATTTTCTGGACTCGCTTTACGCCGTTTACTTGTTGCTTCTTTTGGTCGCTCTGTCTTTTTATATCCAGCCTATTTTAGCTCGTTAATGACTTTTCTTGTAGCCGCCAAAATCCAGGAAGCAAAAGCCATTTTTCCTTTGAACAGTTTCTTTGAGACAAGGGAGATCACTAAGTCAAGGCATTCGTGGAGATGTATCCTTAGTGATAGGTCCAAATGGTGACATAGGTGGCTCTTATCGATTCTCAGGGCATGCTAAAGAGTAAATAAATAGAGCGAAACATCTTGGCTTAGGTAACGACGAATGTAAAGAGTCATACTAAGAACGGCCGTGTGTGGCATTCACTTATGCTTGTGTGTGTTCAGCGTATTCGAAATGGTCAGTTAGTTTTCCAAACCTTTTAATTTTTTTAATGATTTATTGATGAATTCATTTGAAAGCTCGTTGGATATGTACATACATACACAGGCATCTGTACTGGTTAAATTTACATGCAATCTTTATTCTGTTTTCACACTCATTTCAAGTAAAACTTTGAAAGTTTCTTAAATGTCTATAACAATATTGAAATCTGCATTAGACTGTTGATGGTGATTATATTCATGAATGGGATGGCTTTGTTCCCATCATTGCTATTTCTGCTTGGATGAAGATGAATGTCAGGATCAGAAACACAACTGTGACGCGAATGCTCAGTGTAACATTACTTTTGGCTAATATAACTGCACTTGCCTCAATGGGTACTCAGGAGACGGTGTGAGCTGTCTGGGTACGTACTGCTCGTTGAAATGTGTATTATCACATGAATATAAAGCTACACAACCGTGCGTCTCGTGTTTTGGGTCATAATGGATTTTCTCTCCACGTGGAAAACGAGAGAGATGTTATTTATTTACACGGTGACTAAGGCTACTTTCGTAAATGTTTTACGTTGCCTTCTCCACAGTTCATGGGTCATTACAACAAGGAGCACCAGGGAAAATTTCGCTAGTTTGAAGTTTGATAACTGAAGTGTTTTTGCCATGAAGCGGGTACATTTTACCTTAACCACCAATGTCTTCAACACTTCAAGCGTTTTTTTTTTTAACCCCAGCTATTTTCTTCTTTCGTTTAGATATCGACGAATGTACTACAAATGTGCACAACTGCGACCCATTGGCTGTTTGTAACAACACTGTTGGATGTTTTCACTGCACATGTATGTCAGGGTATGAAGGAGATGGTACAACTTGTGTAGGTGGGAGATTATTGCTCCTTCACATGATTCTATAGATATCGACGAATGTGCATTACCAGCTCATAACTGTCATGGAGTTACTTAATGTTTCGACAATCCAGGATCCTTCAGCTGTGAGAGCCAAGAAAACTACATTGGTGATGGCATATCATGTGAACCCGTTAGTAAGAATTATGTCAAATTTCAGTAAAAGAATATTTAGCTGATAATTTGTTTTTATCATTTTTTTCATTAATTCACTCTCGAGAATTATAGCCGAATGTTATTAGGAATATTCTCCAGAAAATGAGGACACGACTTTGCTAAGCCTTCTAGGTTGGATACCTCTTTCCCTCATTACTTCGTGGCCTGATGCTCTCCAAATTTGCCCTAAGCCTTGAGGATATCAGTCAGCAGCAGACCTTCGCAACGACCCTATTCTAGCGTTGTACAACTCCTATGAAGGGGGTGGTTATGCAGCAGTCATGGGATACGATGGAAGCACTGCAAAAGGCGTCCTTAACGAGACTGTTACTAATGGATGGCTTGGTCGCCGAACTCGAGTTGTAATTCTAGAGTTTGCTGTTTTCAATGTCAATACCATCTTGATTAGCGTTGCCACATATTTTTACGCGGCCATATATACTGGTGCAGCCTACACTAAAAGGAGAATTGAAACACTGGAGTTGTACAGCACTGAGTCAGGAGCTCTGATGTTTTCCTTAATTGGCCAGTTTCTGTTCATGGCTATGGTCCTCTTTTACTTCATAGTTATGTTAGTTCACCTTTATCAACAACGCTTTCGTTTCTCAAGTCTGTTTGGAACATGGTGGATTTCTTCATGATAACTTTGTCTGTAGCCTCTGTAGCATTTTACATGATCAGAGCTAAAAGCGTTTTGAACACCATCAAATCTATTCAAGCCAATCCATATGAAATCGTGCATTTCCACACAGCCTTGGATTGGCTTAACCTAGAAAATGCGTGTATTGCTGTTGCTGTTTTCATGGTGACAGTCAAGCTTCTGAATCTAATTCGTTT